GTGGAGCATGGACTTTGGTTTTCACCAAACGTTGCAGGGGTAAGCAATAAATGACTCTAGGTGTTTGCCATTATCTTAGCAAAGATGTTAGTGATTATGTCTTGACTAAAAAAATAACAATTTAGGGGAAAAAACCACTTGGTAACATACTATCGACTTTATTGGAAGGTATTTGGAGAAGAAACGATTACTATTTCCAAGATTCTTCTTTGTATCTGATCCAGTTCTCCTGGAAATTCTTGGACAAGCCAGTGATTCCCACACCATACAGGTATAATCTAAGAATCCGTGATCTCAATTGCTTTTTCCACAACATACACAATGAAGAATAAAAGTGAAGAATCTTAAATGAAATCTTAAATGAAAAATCTTAAAATGCAGGCATTAAAGAACAGTATTACAAATTACATTGATCATAAAATGTCATATTTTCTGTGTATTTGGAGCCTGTCATCCTGATGCAGTCCAGCAGTGTTGAGCGACTATGCACTGACTATGCCATTCCTAGCTGTGTGACCTTGGCAGGCTTCCTAATTTCCCCATGCCTCCAATCCACATCTGTAAAATCAGGATATTAATGGTTCTCACCTCACAGGACCGTCATGAGGATTATATGAGATCATGCATAGCAAAATCTCTAGCACACAGTATGTGTTTATTAAATCGAACTTATCATTATGAGTATTTTATTCTAAATATTCTTAGACCAAATAGGGGTTATATTTTGGATTCGTCCTTTTTTTTCCTTTCTGAATACTTCTCCAATGCTTTTAGCCATTTCCCAGAGCAATACTTTGGAAGAGGAAAAGAAAAACCATAGCAAACTGAGAGTGGGAGGCACGGAAGGGCCTGTCCCAGGGCCAGTTCTGGTTTGGAGATCTGGGAAACGGCTAATGTTCCTTGTTGGTTTCCAGGGACTTGTAACAATGAGAAAAGAGAATGGAAAGGCTCTGTGAAAGGTGGAGGTAGAGCTAGGAGAGAGGGCAGGACTGAGCTGTATCTGGGTGGGGAGGAGGGGGGCGGCGGTACGGTCCAGTCTCCATCTGGTGGCAGGGGACAGTCCTTAGTCTAATCTGCATAGCATGAGAGGGGGCCGTTTGCAGGACCTGGAGAAAACATTCTGTAGGGCTTGATTTTAAAAAGTAGGCCTCCAAGCCAGTCAAGGGTCAAAGCAGAGTCTCTCTCTGTTTTTTGAGACAAAAGTAAATAACCTTTTAAAAAGATACAAAATATTAAGGCTTTTAAAAACATCTTAGCGACTTTTGTGTTCAGCCTCCTGTGTGATGTTTTCCTGTCTTACAGCCGCATCTCCCTGCAGTATCTGACAACATCAATGAGGTGACATTTCATGCAAAAGACTATGATCGCATCATGGCTGTCATATCAAGAGAAGGAGAAAAAATCGTTGTAATTTACCTTGCTTTAAATTTTGTTATTAGAATTTCTTTAAAAACTTACGTTGAGGAGAGTGCAGTTCTCTTACGGAAAAAAACAGGAGAGGGAGTTCTCGTTCTACAGCCCTGGGCTTTGTGAAAAACTGGTTTAGATAAATCCTCTAACTTCTCTGAGACTCATTTTGTAATTTATGGAGTGAAAGTTTTGGACTAGATGATCCCTGTAGTTCCTTCCAGCTATAGTATTAGATGATTTTACCCATATTTAAAATGTTTTGTATAAAATATGAAACTGTTTGCTTGGCATAGGGTACTATGATTTATTAAGTGTGCGTGGAACATCTGTAAAAATGCCAAATTATTATCAATTTATAATATCCTTGTAATTTTGTTTTAGTTGGATAATTCTGTTATGGCCAAAGGTCCTGTGGAGATTTGGCTTCTGGATTTGTTAAAAATGCAGATGTCATCATTACATAATATAATTAGATCCGCTTTCTATCAAATCAGTGATTCAGGATTTCAACTCTTACCATTCCTCAGCCACTTTCCAGCACAGGTGAGAATACACAATGCTTAAGTAATGGTGAAAAGAAATGAAAATAAAGGGGAAGGATGCTTAGGAGGTGGTTGGCCTGATGGTGTGAGGCAACTGTAGCTTTGAACTAGGTTAGAGTGGCCTACTCACGCTCATTTTAGCCTTAGCTCCCAACCACCTGCTTGTCAACCTACACCATTCTAGACCAACCCATCCCATCTCCCAGAAGAGGGTATGCCACTATTTTCCCATAATTAAGGATACATACATTGAGTCTAATAGATACATATGTAAGTGTGTGCGTGTGTGTGTGTGTGTGTATTTGTATACAGAAACTCCTCGACTTATGATGGGGTTATCGCCCAACAAATTCATCATAGTTGAAAATATCATTCACCAGAAATGTATTTAATACATCTAACCTACCAAATCATAAGCTTAGTCTAGTGTATCTTAAAGATGCTCAGAACACTTACATTAGCCTACAGTTAGGCAAAATCATTTAACACCAAGCCTATTTTATAATAAAGTGTTGACTATCTCATATAATTTATTGACTACTGCACTGAAAGTGAAAAACAGAATGGTTGTATGGGTGCTCACTCAAAGTACAGTTTCTACTAAATGCATATTGCTTTTGCACTACCGTAAAGTAAAAAAAGTTGTTAAGTTGTACCATTGAAAGTTGGGGACCATCTGTGTGTATGTGCATGTGTATGTGTGTGTGTGTGTGTGTGTATATATACACCAATTCAGAGATATGATACAGATATAGATATGGATGTATGTAAAGGGAATGAACATACCTTTTCTTGACATGAAATCCATCTTGTCTTTAATTTTCCCTTCAAGCGATTAAAAATGGACATAATTTGTTGAGAGGCTTTTTCATGCAACTGGTGTTTTAGAAAGTGAAGACCTCAAAGAGGCCAGGGTTGGAGCAGGTGCCAGTGGTTTCATTACACTTTCACTCAAGAGAAATGAAAAGTGATAATTTGTGATCTGGCCAGAGAGAGTATGGGATAAAAGGCAAAAGATATCCAAGGAAACTGTAGGCAGTTTTTGCCCAAATGATATTTATTCTCCAACTACTCCTCCCAACCTGAGCTCCAAATCCTGAATTAGTGCACACAAAATGAAGACAACTGAAATGATGTATTATTTGTTCAAACCACAGAAGGACAGATATAGAATCAACCTTTACTGGAGAGAATAATACTGTGATTTTTATATTGTATAACACCTTGGGAAACTTTAGTATTCTTATTAGCATTATTACCTTTGTGATCAAGCTTTATAAAATACTTTGTTGAATTGAGCAAAGAGTTCCTGAAACTAAATCTACATATTCTCCTTCTCCAGCCCGTGTATATCCTGAAGGAGGGGCTCAGCCTAAATTAGACTGAGGATTTAGCATTACGTAGAGAGTTGAGAGCAAGTTCAGAACAGTGGTGAAGTTGGACAGGGTGTAGTAGGAAAGATGATTAGTTTCAGGGTTTTCTCGTGTGTGTGTGTGTGTGTGTGTGTGTGTGTGTATATATATATATATATTCTTTTAAAACATGTTTTAAAGATTTGAATGCAATGGATCCTTGCTGCAAAAATTTGGAAAAATGCAAAAAATATAAAAGTGGAATACATAGGTGATGGGTTGATAGGTGCAGCAAACCACCACGGCACACGTTTACCTGTGTAACAAATCTGCACGTTCCACACGTGTATCCCGAAACTTAAAGTACAAATAAAATGAAAGTGGAAATAAGAATTTCCCATATTTCTACCACCTGGAAATTACGGCTATTAATATTTTAGTGTATTCCCTTCCAATACCTTATTTATGTATTTGTTGCTCTTTTTCCCTTTCTTCTTTGTTTTAAAAATTGACATATAAAAATTGTAAATATTTACGGGGCACATAGTAATGTTTTGATACATATAATATGTCTTGTGATCAGATGAGAGTAATTAGCATATCAATCATCTCAAACACTTACCATTTCTTTGTGTTGGGAACATTCAATATCCTCCTTCTAGCTATTTGAAACTATATGTTATTCTTAACTGTAGTTGTCCTACAGTGGTATAGAACAAGGGTCCCTAACCCGCCCCTGCCCGACCCGACCCGGCCTGCCCACACACCGGTACGGGTTCATGGGCTATTAGGAACTGGGTTGCACAGCAGGAGGTGAGCGACGGGCAAGTGAGCATTACTGCCTGAGCTCCACCTCCTGTCAGATCAGCAGCGGCATGAGATTCTCATAGGAGGGCGAACCCTATTGTGAACTGAATTGTGCATTCGAGGGATCGAGGTTGTGCGCTCCTTATGTGAATCTAAACCATCCTGCGACCCCCGTCCATGGAAAAATTGTCTTCCTTGAAATCGGTCCCTGGTGCCAAAAAGGCTGAGGACCACTGGTATAGATCACTAACACCTAGTCCTCCTACCTAGCTATAATTTTATGTCCTTTAGCAAATCTATCCCTATCCTCCTCTTCTCCTTACCCTTCCCAGTCTCTAGTGTCCTCCAATCTGTTTTCACTTCTCTGAGGTCAGCTTTATTTTAGCTTCCGTTTGTGCGTGAGAACATGTGGTGCCTTCTCATATTGTTTAATGTGCTTATTATAGGCATCGAATAATATTGATGAGAATGAGCATTCTTACTTTGCTGTGCTGTTTTGTTTTTTAATGAAATGTCCTCTGGTTTTCACCACTAAGTCGCATGCCTTTTTAGACTGAGTATAAAAACATAATTTTAAGCTCTTCTTGGTGACTCAAGATAATGATTATAAAGACTTGCCATTGGATAGACACCATTATGCGGTGGGTTTTGGGGTCTGCTGGTCTATTCGTCTTTAAGTCAGACAGCTGTACACTGCTGTGCTTTTGTAGTTTTTCTCTTTGTATTTCCTCCCTTGGACCATCATCTGCTGCTGACGGCCAGAATCTGCTTGCTTTTGGGGGGCTTCCTGACACTGGTTATTTTCTCCAGACCCCATTGCTCACTTCAGCCAGGTGCTTTCATTTATCTTTAGCTGCAGCCCCCAGGATTGGCCACTGCTCTAGCAGGAAAAGTATCAAAGTCTCTGATAAGGCAGGGACAGAAAGAGGGTTTTATTCTTTCTTTTCTCACTGTTGAGCCCATGCCAAGCAATATCCATATACTGCTCGCCCTGCTTTCAGTCCTCTTTTTTAGTCCAAATGATGTTGGATCTGTCATTCGACTCTGGATGAGTGAGAGCTCCCGAAGAGACAGCCATTTCAGTGAAGGGGTGAGGGTGGGCATTCTCAGACCACTTTTATTACCTTTTCTGGGGCAGAAATTGTAGGCTAAGGTGACATCCTCTCACAATTTCTTTATGCCTTCATCAGGATACAAAGAATACAAGCTTCTCCTCTTCTCATTTTCTGTCTCCCTCTCTCTTCTATAGATAAGTGTAGAGACAGAAAAGTTGACTTAGATAAAAACATGGATATCAGAGAGAGGGAGCAATCAAGAAAGGAGATAGGCAGCGTATTGTTTTTAGAAGAGCAAAGAGAACTTTGGGAAGCCCTGCTCAAGAACAAGCAACAATAAAGACTTCCTTTGCTTTTCTTGAGAAAGAAAAATCATTGCATGGAAATATCCAATAGTCTCAGGCCCTCTGTAGAAAAATTTCCTAACCATCTTCTATAACACACATTCGTTCAACAAATGGTAGCCAGTATTTTAATGATCATTAATCCATCTACTATGAAATAATTAAATATTAATGGTTAAAACTTTAACTGTTTCCCTCCTTTGGGAGTGAAGAAATGCAAGTCAATGTGATTTTTAGTTTAAAATGTGAATAAGCGACCACCAAATTGTATTGCAGATGTGCTTTAAATATTTGGTAAATTTCAGTATTTTTCTGTTGGATCTGTAGGTTGGACTTCTGGGAATTCAGATGTTGTGGACACATGATTCAGAAGAGGCTTTACATAATGCAAAAGATGACAGGAAAATCATGCAAGTGACCAATCAGAAATTTTTGGATATTCTAAATACTCTCATTAGTCAGACAACACATGATCTAAGCAAGTTTGATAGAGTGAAGTTCGAAACTCTAATTACTATCCATGTGCATCAGAGAGATATATTTGATGACTTGGTAAGGCATCTTTTTTTTTTCTTAATTTGGTGTATTAATTAATAATGAACAGTTAAGAGTTGTATATGTTGCCTAACTTACATGAACTTTCCATTTGCTTAGTCCTTTTTCATAACTGTGTCCGTCAATATCATGGCCACAATATTGTATATCTGTATTGGATGGTTTACACAACCATGTTATATATTCATTTGGCACTCTGAAAGTCTGCAACCATCTGATGTGATATGAACCAACTAATTTTCCATTAAACCAAATAACCAGGAACACGATATAATTTAGGTCATAAGCTATGCTGGGTCGATTGGAAAAGGAGCACAGATGGAACAGAATCAGGCTTCAGAGCACTCTCACGGCTGTTCGTCCAGTTGATGGTGATCATGGGCTTGATTTGGGCAAAGTTCTGTAGGGTGGGACTAAGAAGGGTAAGTGTTTGAATTCCTTTAGAAATGGGACTCTAACCAGTGGCCTTGACCAAGACCAACTTCTCCTAAAGGAAGGATTTTCTATTACAGGGTAGGAGCCCCAGGTAATTTTGAAATGCCACTGTTTGATAATCCTTACCTACCATTTAACTCCTATTGCTTTAGTCTACTTGATTTGATACATTTTAAAGGTATCTCTTTCCTTCATCAGAGACACATAATTCATACAGGTTGGGTCCTGTTTTAGAGAATGTGATCACAGACTACCTGTTTCGAACTTTTATCAAAAGTTCTGATCAGATAAGTTATATTTATTGAAGATTACTTGAAGGACATCCAGTCAATCCATCCATCCCCCTGCAACCCAGATCCTTGCTTCTCAAAGTATTACATGCAGACCAGTGCTTTGGTATCACCTGGAAGTTGGTGAAAAGAGCAGAATCTCCAGCCTCCCTCCTCCCATCCAAGACCTACTGAATCAGAATCTGCATTTTATCAAGATTCTTAGGAGATTCATATGCATATTGAAATTTGAGGAAAAACTGCTCTAGGATTTATCTCTGGATTAAGCTAATATCAGAAAGCTGCACACTTATATTGTTTTGACCTTCCACGGACTAGTTTTTACTAATTGCAATTGCCATTATACTTTGACTTTAATTGACTTCCACCTCAAGAAGCACTAGTATGGAGTTCATTATTGTATCTGCTGTCAGCATACATTTGAGGATGTTGTCTATACATCTCTCACTGGCTCCTAAAACTGAAGTCCTGTAAAAGAAATTTCTTTTAAAATTAAGTGCTGAGCAAACTTTACTTTACATCCGGAAGGGATTTTTAAAAAAACCTGTACCTAAGGAAAACTATGAAACCGTTTTCTCTTATCTTAATCACCATTGAACTGTTTGCATCCCAACTAAATGAGATCTCATGGCCAACATATATGCATTTTATTTTTCCATGTACAATTATTAGAACAACCTGATATACAGCAAGAACTCAATGAATATATCAACTATTCTTTTCTTCTCCACCTCCTCCTTACCATCTTAACAGATGGTTGAAAGTAGCTGGCTGAGAGCATCCCCATGGCCTTGAGTCCTGTGTTACAGAGCATTCCCTGGGAGTGGGGCCAGACTGTGTTACCTGAAGGTAACTCAAGGTGATGACTACAAACCGTGCTTTAGGTGGGAAGCCAGTCCTTAACTAGAGGAGGAAGCAAGATCATGACCAAACAGCAAACAACAATAACGAAAAGTGGGACTGTAAATAGCAAGGTGTGTGGCGGCCTGGTCAGATGGAGATCTGAGCATTGTATAGTAGCCACAAGTCCATTTTTTAGTGTCAACTGAATGACCTGAAAGTGGGTCTACTGGGTTTAGTGAAGGGGACCACTTGCCACTTCCTGTGTTGATTCCTCTGAATGGGCAGGACTGGTGTTTCACGTTTCACTGGAAAGTCAAGAAGCTTCTCAGAATGTGGTTGTGATGGAATGGAGTTCCTAAGGTTGCTTACCTGGTTTCTCTTCGAATGGACCAGGTACTAGAGCTTGCATCCATGGCCACGGGAGCCCAGTACCTCTTGCCTCACCTGTATATGCTGATGACTAGGCGGATTGGGTGGCTTGGCTATAGTGCTGGTGCAGGGAGACATGTGCACATATAACCATGTGTTTCCCTGCTTAACCCTTTAGTGACTTCCGACTGCCATGAGGACAATTCTTAAACCCCTTCCCATGGCCCTGTGAAGCCTCAACTCATGCTTTCTCTAGATCCCAGGATGTCTACCAGCTGTACTGACCTTTTTTCAGTTCCTTGAGGGTGCCAATCAGATCTTGTGGGCATTTGCCTATAGCACTTACTCTTCCCACACCTTCATTATCCCTTTCGTTCCCCACTCCCAGTGGCCCTGGCTAATTCCTACTATTTATCTGGGTTTTAGTTGAGATGTTTTCTTCCTCTGAGTGCCCCTCTCAGATACCCTGGAGTAGTTAGGTCCTCCTGCTCCATATATTCATGAGCCCTGAATTTCAGTGGTGGTGCCCTTTGTACTTTATTGCAATAATTTGTTTCACTGTTTGCCTTTTGCTCTTTTCTGTGAGCTCTGGAAGCCTGGAACCATCTCTGTCTTTGTTCACCTAGCACAGTGTCAAGCACAGGAAGGAACTCAATAAATATTTGTTAAGTGAATAAGAATCAGTTCATCCAAGAGTGAATAAAAAAACTGCCCACATGCTTATGTTTTATGCTATTGCAATTCAGTATATAACTTTTTTTGTATTTTATGTTTTTAAGGTAAAAATGCATATCAGATCACCTACTGATTTTGAATGGTTAAAACAGAGTAGATTTTATTTTAAGGAAGATTTGGATCAAACTGTAGTGTCTATTACAGATGTTGATTTTATTTACCAAAATGAATTTCTGGGATGTACTGATCGCCTTGTTATCACTCCATTAACAGACAGGTAGGAAACGCAGTTTTTATTTTTTATTTTGTAATTTTAAAATGTGCTTAACATTATTTAAAGTTGCATTTGAAATATTAACAAAAGCAGATTTCTGTCATTCTGGGTATATGCTAGCTCATTAAAGTCAGCCTAACAATGAAATAACCACTTAAATATACATGTGCATTGAATTTTTATGAAGTAGAAAAAGATAAAAGAATAAAAGCAAGCTTGAATGTTGACTGTAATTTAATGGTGAATTTTAGATTGCAAGTGGAAAAATATTCCTAGAATCCCAAAAGAAGTTAAAATTGCCGAGAAGGAAGGTACCTTGGAGATCATGTAATTTAGTCTTTGGATTTTCAGATGTGGAAATTGATACCTAAAGTACATTTTCATGGCCAATATGAATAATTAGTCAATGGCAGATCCCGTCACAATTCTTTGTATTATATGACACTAGGCCATTATTAGGTCTTTTTTATCCCATGATACCCAGTTAAGTATGCTGTGCATAGAAAACATTCAATAAATGTTGTTAGAATTGACTTAAATTGGGTTATTTAATATTTAGTGCCGCTGTTACTTTAAGTAGGGCTGCCTCCAGGTGAAATTATATCAAATTACATCTTCAGCCTCCTTTTGATTTATTGAACCTATCCCTTTTATATGCCCAGTGCCGTAGAAACATAAATTTGTCAGTGTTTTCTCTTCTATTGGTGTTTACATATTAAGCGTCATGTCTCATGAAGCTTTACTAAGATCTTTACTAAGTTTTACTTAGATCCAAAACAAATACAACAGAAACTGGATCATGGATACAAAGAGATTTATTATATTAGTATTCTTTGCACTTTTCTAAATGAGTGAATTATTTCATAGTGAAACTATTTATTTACAATGGTATGCTGGAGCTGACTTGCATCAGCCTGCGGTGCTTACCTGGTTTCTTTCTTTTTTTTTTTTTTTTTGAGACAGAGTCTCACTCTGTCGCCCAGGCTGGAGTGCAGTGGCCTGATCTTTGTTCACTGCAACCTCTGCCTCTACCTACCAAGTAGCTGGGACTACAGGCGCATGCCACCACTCTTGGCTAATTTTTGTATTTTTTAAATAGAGAGGGGGTTTCACCATATTGGCCAGGCTGGTCTTGAACTCCTGACCTTGTGATCTGCTCGCCTCGGCCTCCCAAAGTGCTGGGCTTACAGGCGTGAACCACCGCTCCTGGCCTTTCCTGGTTTCTGTCTATGTGCATTTTGCCCCAACTTTGTGATATCGCATTGGTAGCTTGCCATTGACCACAGTGGAAGTGTTTATACAATAGGAATTGGCAAACATGAAAACCAGGTGTTTTTTTTTTTTTTTTTTTTCTTCTGGAGAGCCAGTTGTTAAACATCTGCCAGCACAACACTGCTCATTTGGTTCTCCTGACTGTAATGGCAGGAAGGCCTGAAGGTTTTAAGTCAGGATTGAGGAGTTTGGAAATTTGTCTCAAGAAATCTTTGGATTCACTGTAGTACTTTTAATGAATATCAAGTACCCTAACCTTGTTTAGTCACTTCTTTTATGTGGGCTACTCAGACTCTAAAATAAACAGGCCCATTTCAGTCGCACTGGACTTTTGCTTGCTCCATCCTGTAATGTATCATCCCATACTCACAGTGCTTTATTGGATGAACGTTTGCAGATGCTATATCACGTTAGCTCAGGCCTTGGGCATGAACATGGGAGGCGCTCCCGCGGGACCTGCCGGCACTGGCAAAACAGAAACCACAAAAGACATGGGAAGGTGTTTGGGAAAATATGTGGTCGTGTTCAACTGCTCGGATCAAATGGATTTCAGAGGCCTAGGAAGGATTTTCAAAGGCAAGTGTCAAATAATATAGATTATTTTTGGTGAATTTATTTTTATTGCCCTTTAATGTTATTTTCTGATATAAATCCAAAGTGATGCAGTCTCACATAATCAACATTAGTATGGGTTGATCCATATGATATTGCCATTTTTCTAGGTCAAAAATGGCTGGATATCAACAATTTCTTATGGTTCAACACTATTGCTAGTGTTACAGTCTGTGCATGGAATGTGTGTTAGATCATGAAAATGGAATCAATGTATAATTGCCTGAAATAATAGTAGAGAGGATCAAGATAGCAAACGGGGGACACATGTGGCTTCCCTCCCACAGAAGTGAAATATTTTTAGAAAGCATAGCAACACTGGAAAATAAGAAGTGGGTGGCCATCAGCAGATGGAAAATTTTGAGAAAATCCTGAAAGGTAGGTAGAAGGTGTTTTCAGATGAACAGAGAAAAAAAATATTTGAAGACACATCAGCCTCAGAGCTCAGTCCTTGGCGGTCTTCTCTTTTCTATCTACATGCATTCTCTTGGTGATCTTATGTAGGCCCAAGGTTTAAATACTATCTGTATGATGACTCCGGAATTATATCTCTAGCTTGGACTTCTTCTTGAAACTCTAGATTCATTACATACAAGTGTTGATTTAGCATGTCCACTTAAATGTCTAACAGGTCCAGATTCACTATGTTTAAAACCAAACTCCTGGCTGGGCACAGTGGTTCACGCCTTTGGGAGACCAAGGCAGGCAGATCATGAGGTCAGGAGTTCGAGACCATCCTGGCCAACATGGTGAAACCCCGTCTCTACTAAAAATACAAAAATTAGCTGGGCATGGTGGCACGTGCCTGTAATCCCAGCTACTCAGGAGGCTGAGCCAGGAGAATTGCTTGAACCCGGGAGGCTGAGGTTGCAGTGAGCTGAGATCGTGCCACTGCTCTCCAGCCTGGGCTACAGAGTGAGATTCCACCAAAAAAATGTATATATAAAAACAAAACAAAACAAAACAAAACAAAAAAACTCCTGATCTCTAGGTGCTCAGGCACAACAACAACAAAACAACCCAATAATGACAACAACAAACAAAATAACCATCCCCCAAACAACTTCCACCTATCCTTTACTCTATTCTTTGTCTTATACTCAGATCCAATCTGTCAGCAAATACTGTTGTTTCTACTTTCAGAATACCCCCAAAATTTGTACTTTCATTTTGGCAGTGTACTATTTCCATTGTTTTGATGAAAATGTACAAATAATTAAACCTCTCTTTATCACTGGAATTAAATACGTATTTATCAACAGCCAGATATGAAACATTACATATGTATAATGGTTTGGGAGCCCTGGAGAAATGATTGTTATCAAGAAGGTATATTATAGAGTAAAACTTTACAAATTAACTGTTTTTCATGCCAGGTCTTGCACAGTCAGGTTCCTGGGGCTGCTTTGATGAGTTTAACAGAATTGAATTGCCTGTGTTATCAGTGGCAGCACAACAAATTTATATTGTTTTGACAGCAAGAAAAGAGAGAAAGAAACAGTTCATTTTTTCTGATGGTGATTGTGTTGATTTAAATCCAGAATTTGGAATCTTCTTAACGATGGTGAGAAAAAAGACTTTAAATGCAATTTAATTAGTTTAATTGTTACAGACATAAGTAAAACAAAGCATGTGTTAGTGGATGAATGACCAGCTATCCAGGAGTCATGAGCTGTTCTCTCTTACCGTGTGATTTTTTTAGTAGTCATTATAGCCCAGACGGAAGATAAAATAGTAATTTTTTTCAATTAAAAAATTCAAATCCAGACCTACAGAGGTAATATGCTAATGATAATAATGGATACTGTTTTTTGACCACTTAATATGTGTAAGGTGCAGACTAGATGTTCTATGTGCTATATCAGATGGCGTAACTCACATAGTTCTGCAGTAACAAACAATCCCTAAATCTTAATTGCTTAAAGCCACAAGATTTATCTCTCTGTCACATGTCCACTGTGGGTTGACTAAGGTAGAGGTGGGAGGCCAGGGCTGCTTTGTATGTCCTTACTCTGGTACTTGGCCTGACAAGGTACCTGCTATCTCAATCATTGCTCTTTGCTATAGCAAAGGAAAAAGAGAACATGAAGAGTTGTGCTCTGACTCTTAGAGTTTCTTTCCAGAAGTGACACAAAGTCGTAAGTCATTGGCTAAAGCAAGTTTCATGACCTAACTTCAAGGGGTGGTGGGGTGGGGGAAAACGTGCTGTCCTATCATGCAACTAGCTAGAGGAAGGACCTGAAATATTCTCTCACATGTACACCATATCTTATAGCTACGATAGTCCTCTGAAGTGGGTATTGTATAGCTGACTTACCTGAGGCTCAGCGAGACTTAAAAACTTCCTAGGTCACCCAGCCAGTAAGAGAAAGAAGTTATTGTCTCTCTAACATCAAAATCTGACTGCTTAACCTCCACAATTGGTTTTTCTTTGACACCGAATAAAAGGAAATAAAAATAAAATTTCTGCAATAATTTAACAAGGTCCTGTACCAAAGAATTGTAACAAATTCAGTTACCATGTGATTAAGGGTGAGCTTTGAGATTCAGTGTTGTAAAGATAGAAAACCAAAGGCATGAATAAACGGGAGTTTCTATACTTTTATGTGTCACCAGTTTTAAAGCTGTTATGTGTTTTCCATAAAGTTAAATCTCGAAGTTGCAAGATAACACAAAGCACTCCGAGTTTTTAAATGTCCCCATGGATAAAGATGATAAATTATAGGAAGCAAAATCAGAAATGTTTCTGATACACTTATTGTAAGCAAACATCCAGTAAAGCAGTTAGGGGGAAATAAGAATAATCTGGAAGTGTTGATTGTAACTCAGGAAGTGGGATGAAGAAATGTAGTCAGTGTAAAATTATGGTCTAGAATTTTAAAAAATGCTTAACATGCTCCCTGGATTAAGAATAATATTGGAAATAGCAATTAGATATTGCATTAAGCTGTGAGTAACTGAAACCTAAAAAAATTGTAGTTTAACATGTAAGGATTTATTCTCTTAAGATCTTATATGGTTCTACTCCATCATGAATTCCATCTTCAAGGTCACCTTATGACCCAAGATGCTACAGAAAGCATCACTATCGTGTTGTAGCCAATTGACTGAGTCAACTCCCTTCAAACAAACATCAAGGGTATTTCATACAGTGTGCCCCTTCACATCTCGTGGTGTAGAATTTAATCACAGCAGCTGCAAGGCAGGCTGGGAAATGTAGTTTTTAATCTGGCTGTTGCTGTACCCAACTTGCAAGTGGGCTTCTGTGTCTCAGGAATGATAAGAGCAGTATTGAGAGGCAGCCTCAATTTCTGTATTTCCAGCCCCTAATAAGGTACCTGGCCTATTGACAGTGCCCAGTAGATAGTCAGGGACTGAAGGATTTTAACAAACTTGCCTAAGATAACTCATTCCTGTTGGCCTTACTTGTCTTTGAATCTCCAACCTTTCCTCTGAGACTTGGGTCTGAACTATCTTCAACCTGTTGCTTCTTAGGAGGCCTTCATTTCCTGTCTGCCTCTACTTTTGTCCTTTTCAGTGGTTTTCCCATCATTCCCTTCTTTATTTCCCCTCACTGCCATCTTTATTTCTCCTCACTTCTATGGGTTTTTGTCAGCCAAAGAGCTCTGTAACTGTGACTGCGAAGAATAACTGAAGAGATGGAATAAAAAAAATGCCCAAGGACGCTCATCAGTATAAAATCCTGAGTTTTTTTCTTTTTTCAATAACACACTTTAGACCATAATTATCAGGTATCTATTCAGTTTTCTCTTCTATTATTTCATGTTCTTTTCTATTTTTTAAGGCAGTAGACAGATAGGTACTTAATTTTTGCCATAAAAAATTGCGTGTGACCTTATTAATATCATGAATATAGAAAGATATAAAAGGGCATATGAATATTAGTAAATATGCGTGGTCCAATACACATTGTTTTGAGAAAACAAGAGTATTTTATGAATCTAATATTTTTCAATACCATCTTAAAATCTGAATTAGGGGTCTGAAATATATTTGTATTCAGAAATGAAAGCTGTATCAACAATTAAAAATTAAACATATTTTAACTTTTAGAACCCTGGATATGCTGGGCGCCAGGAACTACCAGAAAACCTAAAAATCCAGTTTAGAACTGTTGCTATGATGGTTCCTGATAGACAGGTATGCACCAGGATTTGAAAGCATAATGTACTTTATGTTGTTTACTTGTTTTTCACTAAAGTTGTTGAAAAAAAATCTCACTATATTAATTTTCAGATCATTATGAGAGTTAAACTTGCAAGCTGTGGTTTTCTTGAAAACGTTATCTTGGCTCAAAAATTTTATGTTCTTTACAAACTCTGTGAAGAGCAACTTACTAAACAGGTAACTTTATAGATCTGCTTACTGCTTACCCACTAGCAATAGTATTTGGTTTTTTCACTTTGCAATTTTCCCTTGATAAATGCTCATCAGTGAGTTAAAATCTCATTGACTCTTTTCTAAAATGCTTTTAGAATTAATTTTACCTATTGGTTGTGTATTTTTAAGACCTTTTTATTTTGAAATAATTGTAGATTCACAGGAAGTTGCAAAGGAATGTACAGGGAGGTGTGTACCCTTCACCCTGCCTTGCCCGGTGTTGACATCTTGTAACTATAGCACAATAACAAAACCAGAAATGGACACTGAAGCAGTCCACAGAGTTCGTTAAGGTTTCATCAGTTATACATGCACTGGTGTGTGTATGTATGTGTGTGTGTGGATATAGTTGTATGGAATATGTAAGATACGGCTCTGTTCTATCACCACAAGGTTCCCTCATGCTACATCTTTATAGCCACACCCACCTCTCTCCCATATCCTTAACCCATTAACCTTTTCTCCATGTCTAGAATTTTATTGCAAGAATGTTACATAAATGGAATCACATAGTATGTAACCTCTTGGTTATGCATTTAAAAGTTTGTTGTTTGGGCCGGGTGCAGTGGCTCATGTCTGTAATCCCAGCATTCTGGGAGGCCAAGGCGGGTGGATCATGAGGTCGGGAGATCGAGACCATCTTGGCTAACACGGTGAAACCCTGTCTCTACTAAAAATACAAAAAAAAAAAAAAAATTACCTGGGTGTGGTGGCACATGTCTGTAATCCCAGCTACTAGGGAGGCTGAGGCAGGAGAATTGCTTGAACCCAGGAGGTGGAGGTTGCAGTGAGCCGAGATCCTGCCACTGCACTCCAGCCTGGGCGACAGACAAAAAAAAAAAAAAAAAATCTATTGTTTGTCACTCAGACTGTATCAGACTATATTGTTCTCAAAAGATATTTAAGGTGTGAATACTTGATCATGCAGGTTGGATTTTCCCATGGAATGATCATATTTCAGTCAAAGGAAAGGCAGGAAAGTTGAGCTAATAAACCTTTGCAGCTTAGTCACCCCAAAACTATGGCCTATAAATATCAGAATCAACCTATATGCGTAGAGTGAGCCATGAGTCTGTGTTTAGTTTTTCAATTAAACCCTCTTTTTGCCCTCTTCTCCCATCTCAGGTTCATTATGACTTTGGATTGAGAAATATTCTGTCTGTATTGAGGACTCTTGGATCTCAAAAAAGAGCCAGACCAGAAGATAGTGAATTAAGCACTGTCATGAGAGGGCTAAGAGATATGAACCTTTCTAAACTGGTATCTTCTCTGAATTCTCTTTTCCAAAATTTTAATGTGGTTTCTTTGTATTTGGTGGACAAGTAGGGGTAGGCTGATGTTGAGCTGTGAGCGCTCATAATTACAGGGATAATAACTGTGCAAAGCCACCACTCTGCTTCCAGAAGAAAGCAAAAGACCCCATGACCCTGTGTGACCAACATGGGCTATAAGTGCCTCCTTTTATCAGTCGTGTGCAGTGAAACAGGTCATCAGTGGGCTTCAGCTCCAAGATTCAACCTAGTTCTCTTCCGTTATTCACAAAGTGACAAATTCTCAGCGTAAGAATCTGGATTCCCAGAGAACCGTGAGAACTTTTTGCTTTCTCTGTATGTGACTAGCTTATCTCAGATATATCTCTCCCAAAACATAACCGTTTTTATTTTCCAAAGCACATGGAATATTTACTGTGGAGAGCATGCTGCTTTCATGCTTGTCACAGTTACAGCCTGGTTGTTGTTTTTTTTTTTTTCTTTGAAACAGAGTTTCACTCTGTCGCCCAGGCTGGAGTACAGTGGTGCAATCTTGGCTCACTGCAACCTCCGCATTCCAGGCTCAAGCTATCCTCCTGCCCCAGCCTCCCGAGTAGCTGGAACTACTGGCACGCACCACCATGCCTGGCTAATTTTTGTATTGTTTTGTAGAGATAGGGTTTTGCCACGTCACCCAGGCTGGTCTCAAACTCCTGGACTCACGTGATCCACCCCGCCTCAGCCTCCCAAAGTGCTGGGATTGCAGGCATGAGCCACCATGCCCAGCCTAGCCAGGTTGTTTTGAATATTTGATGGACAGGTTCATGTGGCATATAAAGATTTCTACATGCCACATATTGTGTCCGTGCCATGGGTGTACAAGATTGAAGAAGAAATGGTTCAGGAAGCTACATTCTAGTTACAAAAACTAACATCTGTGGAGTTCATTACTGTTACAAAGTCTTTTCAGGTGTATTGTCTTATTTGAGCCTTATAGCAACTCTGTGGGATCTGGATGGCTAGCTTACTTATTGTCATTTCACTTATTGGGGAATGGAGACTAGAAGTTGTAGGATTCCCCCATAATCACCATCAGCTGAGAAGAGGGGACAAAAATTTATAAGATTTTCTGATGCCAAATCCACTGCTCCTGCCAGTATACCTCACTGCCTGTATGACTGACATGGACTGTAAGAGAGGCTTAGACTCCCTAAGTCACTCAGGCTGGAGTGCAGTCTAAGCCTCCCTTAGATAATGGCATTTTGAAAATTCCTAGACAAGTATTCAAGAAAGCATCAGCAAAGCCCTGGAGAATAAAGAGAAATCATAAGGGGTCAGATGTTGGGAACAGGGCAATCTATGTGTTAAAGACATTGCAAATAAGGATTGGAGTCAGTGTACTCAAACCTACTGCTTATAAGAAAGGCTCAGAACACTGCCCTGATGGACTTTTCCAGCCATTGTTGGATGAAGTCATGCAGGGTTATGGCTATTTCCCCAATTTAAATAAAATATTAGTTCTTTAATCTCATGGGGTTGGGACTACAAATGATCATTTTTAAGGTTAATGCAAATGCCACTCTGTGAGAAGCAAAGCATTCATGTGATAGAGTAATGAGGTGGTACTTTGGAGCAGTAGACTGGGGCAGGAATGTACAACACATTGAATGCTAAGGAACTTTGGGTACAATGTAGATTCAATGGTGATTGTATTAGTCTGTTCTCACACTGCTAATAAAGACAATTTATAAAGGAAAGAGGTTTAATGGACTCACAGTTCCACATGGCTGGGGAGGCCTCACAATCAGCCGGGAGGTGAATGAGGAGCAAAGTTACGTCTTTACATTTACAGCAGGCAAGAGAGCATGTGCAGGGGAACTTCCGTTTACAAAACCATCAGATCTTGTGACACTTACTCATTATCATGAGAACAGCAGGGAAAGACCTGCCCCCATGATTCAATTACCTCTCACTGGGTCCCTCCCACGACACGTGGGAGTTATGGGAGCTACAATTCCAGATGAGATTTCAGTGGGGACACAGCCAAACCATATTGGTGATATTCTGGAGAAAGTACTAGAAAATACAAGCCTGATTGGGAGAGTAATAAGTGGTTCTCTGGGGATGAAGTGATAAGTACTATGCATGTCTCAGCTAGTTGATAACATTTATTGACTGAATGAGTAAATTTATTTTAAACTATGCCACCTTAGGTTGATGAAGATGAACCCCTGTTCCTCAGCTTAATCAATGACCTGTTCCCGGGACTGCAACTGGATAGTAATACTTATGTGGAACTGCAAAAAGCAGTAGCCAATCAGGTTCAGATAGAGGGTTTGATTAACCATCCACCCTGGAACCTGAAACTCGTGCAGGTAAAGACATTTTAATCTATTATCAGTATAATGATAAGTATGTGTTAAACATAGCTGTCTGAATAGAAAAACTCATGGTTAGTCTTACTTGATGTAAATGTTAAATGAAAACATCATATGTACATCATTGCAAAAAGAATACTAAGGGGGATGTGGTGGTCCAAGAAAGATAGTATGGATTTACCCTGCCTCGCAGTAATCAAGCAGTAATTTACTGCAGTTGTTACCTACACCTGGGGATAACGTTGGGACGAAATAGTAGGTTATAAAAACTCTGGGGAATGGAACAATCCAGATGGTTTCTTGTGCCAATCTGTTAGTACTGGCTGCAGCTGGGTGCCTCAGTGGGGTGCAGCGCCTGAGGAATCCGGGAATGCTACTTTGCTCCTGCTTTGTGTGTGGACATGTTATATCCTTTGCCTACACTAAAACCTGAATCTTTTGACTGCATATTTTGGTGTCTTTCTGTTCATCACATTTCATCCTTGTGACAACCGTCTAACCACCTTGATTGTATTACCAGTAGAATCAAGAACTTGGTAGCAGAGACACAGGATTAAATCTCTATGAGCTTGATGCTTTGGGAATATTTTCCAGAGTTTTTGGAAAATTAAGGAGCTGAAATTGTGGACATTGTTGAAAACTGCATTTGAAATATTAATATAACAATTCTTATTTTAACTTACTGTTCTTGCCAGATTATAAGATGTGCAAGTATCTGAGACACATCCAAATCTTACAAAGAAATATGTGCATGGGGGAAAAGTGCTTTTCATCATTCATGTACTGGAAACCATTTTAAGAGTTTAAAAAATTTCTGGGAAAACATGATTTTATATATGATATGCATACAGTATACTGAGTTCTAAAATTCTCGCCATCTCAATGGGCAGCGACTAGAATTTTGGGTTCTTTGTTGATGTCAGTAACATTGTTCTTGAACATGTCAGGAACAGTGCCTGTTGCTTTTAAACTATAGTTTACAATGGTAATACATTTCTGTCCAAAATGTTAGGAGAATGACTCACTCTACCTCTGATCAGCTGTCAGACCTTTGACTTCTTATTTTTTTTTTAATCGAGAAAACTACAGACAGGATGTTATAACAGCGGCTGTCCATATGCCTAGCATGTCTCCTTGAATCTCTTTTAGCATTTCCATGTGCCCCTGCCCAGCTTCTGTGTGTTTTGGCTTCTAATAGCAAAAGGAGGACTGGAGCCATTTTGTTGGCAGGCACAAAGAGTAGGTGCTGCACGGGAGTTTATTCCCACCCTCGCCCCCAAACCAACCTCTCTGAGAGTTTATGGAGTAGGAAAGTCAAGCTCGCCTGATTCCAGGTGGAGCAATCTTTGAGATGTAAGTTACACTCCAGTCTCCCGCGGGATCAGGCTCACGTCTGCCCTCTACAGGGCTTTGTCCTCAATCACACCTTACTTGGCTTCTTCCCATTCCTGTCCTGCTTTTCTCTTTTTTTACTGGTTTCTCCTGGGAGCACTCCCTGAATAAATCACTTGCACAGGAATCCTCATTCATGATGTACTTCTGGGGAATCAGAAGGCCCCTGTGAAACGGATCTTCACTGTGATGCTCTGCGTTGCTGCTTTCCACCACTAAGGGGCGATATCATCACATTGGATGCCGAGAAAGTTTGCGCATGGAAAAACTACTGGTTATAGACTAACAAACCAAAATCACAGGGAATACATCACGCAAGAAGCAAAAACTAGATGCTGAGTTAATTATTTCCAAAATGTAATTCAAGCTCCACATTGTTATTACTTTATCACATATCATTTTATAACGTAGTGCTCATTTGCTATGCACATCTAGTAAAACAACATTTTTTACAACTTAAAAATAGTGAACTAGTTACTTTAACGAAGAACTTATTTAAAGCCTTTAAACTTCAAGTAACTACTCTGAATGTCAACAAGAGACTCATAAATTACATTTTTTAATTTACTGGTTAATTGTGTAGTTATATGAGACGTCTTTGGTACGACATGGCTTGATGACTCTTGGGCCCAGTGGTTCTGGAAAGACAAGCGTTATCACGATTCTAATGAAAGCGCAAACAGAATGCGGAAGGCCTCACAGAGAAATGCGAATGAATCCAAAAGCCATTACTGCACCTCAGATGTTTGGCAGACTGGACACTGCTACCAATGACTGGACAGATGGCATTTTTTCTACTCTGTGGAGAAAAACATTAAAAGCTAAAAAAGGTATACACAAACTTCCTTTGTGATCATTTTTTCCCTGCCAGCATATTAAGACAATATTTCTTTGATTTTTCCATTTTAATTATTTGCAGATGAAAAGTGATTTGCTGTTTTAATTATTTGCAGGTGAAAACATTTTCCTCATTTTAGATGGTCCTGTGGATGCCATCTGGATTGAGAACTTAAATTCCGTTTTGGATGACAATAAAACTCTGACGTTAGCTAATGGAGATCGCATTCCCATGGCCCCTAGTTGCAAGCTTCTGTTTGAAGTCCACAATATTGAGAACGCCTCTCCTGCCACGGTTTCTAGGATGGGCATGGTCTATATCAGCAGCTCTGCTCTCAGCTGGAAGCCAATCTTACAGGTGGGGCAGAGAGATGGGAAGAAGAACCCTCAGGGTCTCTCCACATTTCACTTTCTTAACAAACAGATTCTGTTTCTTTTCTGCAGGCATGGTTGAAGAAGCGCACTGCACAGGAAGCTGCTGTATTCCTGACACTGTATGAGAAAACCTTTGAAGATACATACACATATATGAAACTAAATCTCAATCCCAAAATGCAGCTCTTGGAGTGCAACTATATTGTGCAAGTAAGATTTTTTTTTGTACATTTACTACTTCGATTTTGATTTTTTTTGCACTCAGTTGCAGTTTACAGCCATCTAAAATAGAAAGTTCAGATAGCCATAAAAATCATTCGATGATGTGACTGTAAAGGCTCTGAGAATTTTGATTCCTCTTAAAGATCTTCTTAATGATCTTACTGTTTTCTCTATTATTTTCACTTCCCAGACGAATGTCAGAGGAAGGGGGAATGAACTGTCTTCCCCACTGTCAGGTTTAGTGACCTGTTCCAGAAAGTGTGTCTAATAATGACAGCCAGTAAAATAAAGTAATTAATTAAAGTAAATTTTAAAATAAAAAACAACACATATGCGCGTGCGTGCATGCGCACACACACAGACACACAACTACTGGTTCCATCCTAACAATAGAAGACTTCATTGTCTGGGCACAGTGGTTTACAACTGTAATCCCAGCACTTTGCGAGGCCAAGGGGGGCGGATTGCTGGAGCTCAGGAGTTTGAGACCAGCTATGGGCAACATGGAGAAACCCTGTTTCTACAAAAATTAGCCAGGTGTGGTGGTGAGTGCCTGTAGTCCCAGTTACTTGGGAGGCTGAGGTGGGAGGATCACTTGAACCTGGAAAGTTGAGTTTGCAGTGAGCCAAGATTGCACCACTGTACTCCAGCTGGGGCTACAGAGTGAGACCCTGTCTCAAAATCAATCAATCAATCAATCAATAAAATAAAAATAAATAAAGTTGGTCACTTCATGGGAAAGAACAGAAAGGGGCCTGTTGTAATCAAGAAAACTTGGGAGGCAATCTTGGCTTTGCAAATTTAGCAAACAAGTTTCCTTATATGACAGATAAGGAAAATCTTTAAAAATTATCTGGATAGTAGTTTGTAGCATTATTTTTTTCCCTTTCTTTCTTCCTTTCTTCTTTCCTTCCTCTCCTCCTTCCTCTTTCTCTCTCTCTCTTTTCCTTCTTTCCCTTCCTTCCCTTCCTTCCCTTCCCTCCCCTCCCCTTTCCTTTCATCAAGGTCTTGCCTGTTGCCCAGGCTCGAGTGCAGTGGTGCAATCAATCATAAATCACTGCAACCTTGGAGTCCTAGGCTCAAGCTGTCCTCCTGCCTCAGCCTTTGGGAGTTGTTGGGGCTACAGGCACACACCACCATGCCCAGCTAATTTTTGGATTTTTTTTGTAGAGACAGGGTGTCTCTATGTTGCCCAGGCTGATCTAGGCTCCTGGACTCAAGCAGTCCTCCTGCCTCAGCCTCCCAAAGTGCTAGGATTGCAGGCATGAGCCACCATGTCCAGCCAGCATTCTTTTTTTCCTACTCAGTTTTCCTTATTAGTCTTTGGGTTAAAACAGAACTAATCATAGATCTTCAAGGGCTCTCCTAATTCTGGTCTATAGGTGACCTCTCCTTATACATTCTAGAGCTTTGATTCTCAGTTAAGGGATGCCAGTCATTTGTGGGTAGGTTAGAAACAATATATAAGGCCCAAGTCAGTGAGTATTTAGTAATTACTTTAAAATGGATAATAGAAGAGAATATTTTATTTTGGAATAATTTTGTTTTGAAAGACTGAGGATGTCTTACAGTAGTTTTCTTTCTGATGTTATAGGGCATTGGCACACTTTTTCTTAAAGGCCGGATAGTATTAATAAATATTTTAGGCTTTGCACAACTCTCTGTCTCAGCCACTCAGCTTTGCTGTTGTAGCACAAAAGCAGCTAGAGACAATGCATAGGTGAATAGGTATGACTGTGTGTGTGTTCCAGTAAAACTTTATTTACCAAACAGATGGCCAGCCCCTAGGGCCACAGTTTGCTAAGTCCTGCAAAATTTTACAGAGAAATAGAATCTTTGATCTGGAAAATTTGGATAACCAAACTTTAGAACCAATAGCTCCCTTAGCTGCTAACACCTAGTCTGGGCCTTTTGCTTTCCCTGTAGGAAGTTGAGACTCACAGAGGTCAGTGGGATGAGCTGGGGGTAGAAACCACAGTAGCAGATTTCCAGTTCAGCATCCTTTCTGCTAGACCATGCTGCCTGTCGAAAGCAGAATAGCCTTTCTCTATGTGCAGTTGGCTATAGGACCGTGATCAAGCAATAGCTTGAGATATATCTGTTTTCTTCGCTTCCTCCCTCCTTTTAATTTTATTACTATTCACAATTTTTTATTTTCAAAATTTTAATTTAAAAATTTATTTTATTTAAAACATTTTCAGTCTCTCAATCTTCTGGAAGGGTTAATTCCCTCCAAAGAGGAAGGCGGTGTTTCCTGTGTCGAACATCTTCATAAATTATTTGTGTTTGGCCTAATGTGGAGTTTAGGAGCCCTTCTGGAATTGGAAAGCAGAGAAAAGCTCGAAGCCTTCTTACGGCAGCATGAAAGCAAGTTGGACTTACCAGAAATACCTAAAGGCTCAAATCAAACCATGTATGAGTTTTATGTTACTGATTATGGTAAGCACACTGAACTATACCTTAAATGAAATTACTTTTTTTTTCAAATGAGAAAAATATAAGCTTTCAGAAACTCTTCTATGAGGGAATATTAAAATAATTATGAAAACAGAATTGTTAATACCATTTTGAAAAGGGCATGTATTTGAAAGAGAGTAGAATTTTGCATATTAGTTGCGCCAGAGACTGATACTGAGACTCTTGACTTCTCCTTTTGGAGTGGGCTCCGTAAAATCTGGCATAAATAAGTTAGTGATACCTTGTACATCATCTACTTTCTGATGCTGGAAGAGGAAAGGTAGCAGCATGGGGAACACAGATTCTTCGTAATGTAAAGCATGCTAGTATAAGGTAAGTGGCAGTCGATGTAGCACACTGGCAGTGGGAAGAGCTGAGAAGCAATGAGAAGCACACATCACAGGACTTTCAAAGGGCTCAGGAAGTGGAAACTGGGGCGAAAGTTGAGCTAAAAACCACAGGGCTGGTGGTAAGTCTGTTTGAGAAAAAGACCTCCTGGGCCTCTTTCCAAAGCCCTGCTGCCAGACAATCAGCCTTGCCCACACTGGAAAGACTAAAGAGTTACTGTTTGGATAGTGTAAAATAGAGGGTTGCCTAGACCTGGGGACACCAGGCACATTTAAGAGTGGGAGAATCATACTGAAACTGAGGATTACGTGGGAATTTGTCTTTGAAAGGGACTGAGATAAATAAATTTTTTCAGTGGGCCATCTTTAACCAGAATGGCCAATAATTCTATTACATGTGTTAGATGCTGCTAAAGGTTTGAGATGGCAAAAGGGCCCTCTAACTCAAAATGCAAACTAACAAAGGAATCTTTAAATCTAGATACATACTCCCTTAGAATCCAGAGCCAAGCTCCTCCACAGAGGTGCCTTCTGAGCAGCCGAAGTTCTATGATGTTTGAAGGTTCAAATCGCCTCTCTCTGAGCACCTTGTCCTTATTCAGAGGCTGGGCCCCAAGTTACTCAGAGAGTGAAATTCATCAGCAGCAATTTTCCAACCGTGGTGAAGCCTTGGTTAGGGGATTGAGATGGCATCTAATAAGGATGCCAATAAAATAATTACCTTCCTCTGTGCCATCAAAAATATGCATTGCTACATTTCCTAAAGAGCAGTCCACTGATGTTTGTGGCATTTTCTTCCAAGTAGCTAGGACTGGTTCTGTAAGTTTAGACAGTGGTGTTTTTTTATTTTAATGGAGATGTTAACAAAAGGTTGACAATAATCTAGACTCATATTCCTTCTTCAAGCTCATCCTGAAGTGGTCTGTTGACTAAAATATTGAGGGGTTGCAGGCATTCAGTCTTGCCACCCTAAATAACTACTTTTGATGAAATTTATTTGTCCGAGCATTTGTGGCCATGAAATGAACTAAGATATTATGTACTTAGTGGTTATTTAGGGCCCTAAGGTGTCCACTCCAGCTGACTTCTAGCCAGCCCTTTCTTAACTCATTCTTCATCCATCCTTTCCATTTTTTCAGGGACATTAACATCTTTGGAGAAGACTTCATTCTTAGATTTAAGATTAAGTAAGGAGACTTATGCTTCCAGACAAGATGGAGTAATGGGGACTGGGTTTAACCTCTTATGTTAGAAAGACAGAAAACTGGACAAAATGTGTAAAACCGTTTTTTTCAGACATTGGACAACAGGCACTACAGGACTGAAATCATGGAGGGAAGTGAAACAAGGTGACTGCACTAGTTTATTGCATGGATGCGGTTTCTAGCAGCAGCTCAGGGAGGGGAAGATCAAACAGGATTGGCTGTCTCACCAAAATGTGGAGGCAGAGGTTGATTTGGGAGAGGCCAAGGTGGCTGGAATTTGCAGGGCAGAGCACCAGAGAGGAGAAATCTGCACAAGGAGGAAGTGTCAGAGAACAACAGAAACGGATAGACAAATCCACAGTTATAGTAAAGGTGTCAATATTCTGAATAATTGATAGAACAAATAGACAAAATTAGTAAATATATGGAAGACTTTAACAACACTATCAATACCCCTAATTCGAAATTATAGAATGCTTCAGCCCAAAACAGCAGAATATACATTCTTTTTCATTGCACAGAAAACACTTACCAAGATATTCTGGGTCATATAACAATTCTCGATAGGGAGACTTTAAAGCACTTTATGTCTTTACTAGAAAAGAAGAAAGGTCTCAAAACAATGATTTCAACTTCTTCCTTAATAAGTTAGAAAAAGAAAAACAAACTAAACCCAAAGTAAGCAGAAGAAAGAACAATGATCAAAGCAGAAGTCAATGAAACAAAAAATAGAATAGCAACAGAAAAAAATCAATGAAACGAAAAAGATGGACCTGAAAAGATCAATAAAATGAACAAATCTCTTATTAGAGACATCAGAACAAAAGAGAAGACTTACATTACCATAGTTAAGGATGAAAGAGAGAACATCACTACAGACTTCACAAACATTAGAAATATGAAGTGAGTATATTAAAAACAACTTTACAAAAACACATTTGACAATGAAGATGAAATGGACAGATTTCTTGAAAGATATAAACTACTAACCATCATCAGGAAGAACTAGATATTGCACAGCATGGTGAATATGGTTAATAACAGTGTGTTGTACATTTCAAAATCGCTAGGAGAGTAAATTTCAAATATTTTCAACACAAAAAATGATAAGCATTTGAGGTGATTGATATGTTAATTGGCTTGTAGTAATTCCACATTGTATCCATAAACTGTAACATTTTGTTCCCCATAAATATATACAATTATAAATTGTCAATTTATAATAAAATTTAAAAAGAAGAAATAGATATCCTAAATAGCCCTATATCTACTAAAGAAATTGAATTTGTAGTTAAAAACCTTCCCACAAAGAAAAACACCAGGCCAAGATGATTTTATTGGTGAATTCTACCAAATATCTAAGGAATAAATAATACCAACTATACACAAACTCTTCCAAAAGATATAAAACATAAAATAGGAAGAAACACTTCCTACCCCGTTTCATAAGGACAGTGTTACCCTGATACCAAAGCCAGAGAAAGACATTCCAAGAAAAACGAAAACAAAAACAAAAACAGCTATAGACCAATATTCCTCAGGAACATTGACGAAAATTTCTTAATAAAATTATAACAAATCCAATAGTATACAAAAGTCCAACTGTGGCTTTTATTCTAGAAGTGGAAGATCAACATTCAAAAACTGATCAATATAATCTGCTGTATTAGACTAAAAACTAAGCAAGCTATAAACAGTCATCTAAATCAATGAAGAAAAGCATTTGGCAAAATTTGACACTCTTTTGTGATGAAATAGGAACTTTATCATTCTGACAATATCTACAGAAAACCTACAGCTAACGTTACACGGAATGGTAAACAACTAAACACTTCCTTCCCAAGATCAGGAACGAAACAAGGATGTCTTTCTCACCTCTCTTCAATTTCATTTCTATTCAACATTATTCTAGAGGTTCTAGCCAGTGCAGTGAGGGGGGAAATCAAATGTCTGTAGATTAGAAAAGAACAAGTAAAGTTCTCTCCATTTGCAGATGACATGACCATCTGTGGAATCTTCAAAAAGTTATTAGAACTACTAAAGGATTTTAGCAAGGTCACAGGACAAAAGGGCCATACATTTGATAAGTTATATTTCTATATGCTCACAACAAACAATTGAAAATTGAACTTTAAAAATACCAGTTAAAATAGAACCCAAGGCTGGGTGCGGTGGCTCATACCTGTAATCGCAGCACTTTGGGAGGCCGAGTGGGGTGGCTCACCTGAGGTCAGGAGTTCGAGACCAGCCTGGCCAACATGATGAAACCCCATATCTACTAAAAAAATACAAAAAAATTAGCCAGGTGTTATGGTGCGTGCTTGTAAGCACAGCTACTTAGGAGGCTGAGGCATGAGAATGGCTTGAATCTGGGAGGCGGAGGTTTCGGTGAGCCAAGATTGTGCCACTGCACTCCAGTCTGGGAGACAGAGTGAGACTCTGTCTTGAAAACACACAAACAAAAATAGAATCCAAAAAAGAATACTTAGGAATAAATTTAATACAATATGTGTAAGATCTGTATATTAAAACTATAAAACTGTGCTGAGAGAAGCTAAAGAAGGCCCAAATAAGGGGACAGATTTTATTTAAACATTATTTAAAGATTATTTTGCTATTTGAAATAGCCAAATCTAGCCAGTGCAATGGGGGGAAAAATCTCTTTTGCTGTTTAAAAGTCACTATTAAGAAAATGAAAAGCCCAGCCACAGACTGTAAAGTACTATTTGAAACATATATATCTGATAAAAAAAATTATCCAGAATATGTAAAGAACTCCGATAATCCAATAACTGTCAATAGGCAATCAATCTAAATTTTTAAATGGGCAGGAAATTTCAATTGTTACTTTGCTAAAAAAGATAGGTGAAAGGTGAAAAAAGAATGTGAAAGATATTCAACATCATTGGTCGTCAGGGAAATGCAAATGAAAACGCCAATGGGGTCTGGGTGCGGTGGCTCACACCTGTAATCCCAACACTTTGGGAGGTCAAGACGGGTAGATCACTTGAAGTCAGCACTTCGAGACCAGCCTGGCCAACATGGTGAAACCCCGTCTCTACTAAAAATACAAAAATTAGCCGGGCTTGGTGGTGGGTGCCTGTAATCCCACCTACTCGGGAGGCTGAGGCAGGAAAATTGCTCGAACCTGGAGACGGAGGCTGCAGTGAGCTGAGATCACACCACTACACTCCAGTCTGGGCTACAGAGCCAGACCTGGTTTCAAAAAAATAAAAACAAAAAACCCCCACAATGGATATCATCACACAGCCACTGGAATGTCTACAATTAAAAAGGTTAATAATGCCAAATATCGGTGCGGTAATAGAGCACGTAGAGCCCTCATATGCTACAAAATGGCACAGCCACTTTGGAAAACAGTTTGGCAGTGTTTTAGAAGTTAAACATACTTATTTTTGCTTACTTTCTCAAGAAAACATGAAATTGGGGTTATTACTCCAATGATGAGTATTCGTTCATCATTGTTTTGCCAATATCAATGTATGCCCTCTTTCCATTCATTCTGTGTCCACAGTAACTTTTGAGTATAATTCTGAATCATTGTATAAGCTTTTTGAAGACATTTGAAATAGAGGCTAAATGCAATTCAATTTGAATGGCAATGATAGGAATAATGCTAATACAATTTGCCTAGCAACAGCAATGGTACGGTACCATAGATTATAAGGAACATCCAGAGATGCTAAAATGTAAATAAATTTTTGAAATCAATTTTTTTTTTTTTTTTTTTTTTTGAGACAGAGTTTCGCTCTTGTTGCCCATGCTGGAATGCAATGGTGTGATCTCGGCTCACCACAACCTCCACCTCCTGAGTTCAAGTGATTCTCCTGCCTCAGCCTCCTGAGTAGCTGGCATTACAGGCACGCGCCACCAGGCCCAGCTAATTTTGTATTTTTAGTAGAGATGGGGTTTCTCCATGTTGGTCAGGCTGGTCACGAACTCCCATCCTCAGCTGATCTGCCCGCCTCGGCCTCTCAAAGTGCTGAGCCATTGCGCCTGGCCTTGAAACCAATTTCTTATGGCAAATACTCTGTATCTAGTAAACGGTTGACTCTTTTTTTGGTCTTTCCCATTTTTCAGTTGATGTGGCTTTTCTGTTAGGTATCCATTACATTACTGGGTTTACCACCAGCTGATTTTAATTCCATTTCAGGTGCGGTTTCTCCG